AGGATAAAAAATGCCCAATTTTAAAAGAAGATAATCAAACTGTTATTTCCAAGCGCTTTTGTGAAGATATCCGCTAATTGGGAATAAGTGGAAACATAGGATGGAGAAATTAAGCCGTCATTAATAGCATCACGAATAAAATGACAGTCAACCTCAATGTGCTTTGTCCGCTCATGAAAAACTAGGTTTTTAGCAATATGAAGGGCCGACTGACTATTACAAAACAACTTGATCGCCTTAGGGTGATTCACTCCTAAACTTAACAATAAAGCCTTTAACCATTTTTAACTCACATGTAACGGCTGCCATGGATCTATACTCAGCCTCGGCAGAAGACCGTGATACGTACTGTAGGCTGTTTCTTTGTCTTCCAAGATATACGAGAGTGTTCTAAAAACACAATCCAACCTATCAACGAACGACGACTAAGAGGACACGCCACCCAATTTGAATCACACCAACCCTGCAGAGTTAGATCAATGTCTGCACTCAACAAAATACCTTGACCCAAAGAACATGCACAGAATAAGCCAGATCCGGTCGTGTGACCAACAGATAAATCAACCATCCTACTAGCCTTCGATAGGACTCAGGATCAGCCATGAACTCACCATCAACAAGACTAAGCTTGTGATTTTGCTCAATCGGAAAACCACATGACTTAGACCCCAACAAACCAGCTTCCGAAATAATATACAAAGTGTACTTTCGTCGACACAAAAACAAACCAGATGGACAACGAGCAACTTCTATGCCCAAAAAATACTTCAAAGGACCAAGGTCCTTCATTTTAAAACAATCACGGAGATAAGCTTTGAACACAACCGACCTAGCGGACTCATTTCCAGAAATAATAACACGCGACATACACCAATACATTAATCTGAATATTACCGTTAGTATATGTGAAAAGAGATTAATCAGAGTAAGATTGGAGAAAACCATACCCTTTTAAAGCCGTAACTAACTTTGCAAACCAACATTTCGGAGCCTGTTTCAACCCATACAAAGACTTCCTCAAACGACACACCAAAGTTAGATCCGAGCTTTCAAAACCGGGAGGTAATTTCATGTACACCTCCTCATCCAGATCACCATGTAGAAAGGAATTATGAACGTTAAACTGTTGAATTTCCTAATTTTTAGAAGCTGTAATTGCAAGGAATGCCCGAACTGTAGTCATTTTTTCAACTGGAGCAAATGTTTCACTTTAATCTATGCCTTCCTGCTGATTATTTCCAAAGACAACTAAACGAGACTTGAGGCGCTAAACGACACCATTAGAAAAAAAAAATCGTCTTATACACCCATTGACTCCCTAGAGTTTTCATTCTTACCAGGGGGAAGATGCTCTAAGGTCCATGTCCCGTTGTCTTCTAGAGCTATTATTTCCTCTTTCATAGACCGTCGCCAACCTTTAAATTTCATGGCTTCTTTGAAGGATTTTGGAGATTTTTCCTGAACAACTGCTGCAAGAAACTTGGGATAATTTACAGAAAACTTGTCACAATTTATATAATGTTCTAAAGGATAAGGCGTACCTGAAAGAGTGATAGGAGACAGAGAGGACGAAGACGGACTATTAGCAAAAATGGAATGCTTCATATAATCATGGAGCTTGACCGACAAAACCTTTTCACGAAATCCCCTACCCATGGGTTCGACACTCGGTTGTTGCTAGGTGGAGGCCTAATGAGGTGCTACTGTACTGGTGCTGCACTCGGCATCTGTGATGCTGCTGTGCTGCTCAAGGAAACCTGTTGTGCTGTACAGGTGAGGCAAGAACGAAGCCCTGCTGCTGCGACGTTGAACCTGCGCCCGCGGGATTTCCCGCGAGTGAAGCAGGAGTTGTGCGAGTAATCTGCCAGTCGTAGGTTCTTCTGTTCCCGGAGGTTGCTCCGTGTGTGGGGCTATATGCTCAATGCTCGGGGCAGCCTGCTCTTCATTCACTAAAACCACATTCTCATCGCCAATAATCACCTTATTATCATCGAACACTTCATACTCAAAAAAATCCTCATGAACATCATTATTTTGATCAAAAACCGTGGGCACTATATTCACATGCATCTTCCGGGCTACCAAAAGGAAATACACCCTCTACCAACTTGACATCACGAGAGACAAAAAAAACTTTTGAATCAAGATCATACAATTTACACCCCTTCTTTCCAAAGGGGTATCCCACAAAAACACATTTTTTATTCCGACTAGTAAATTTGTCCCCATTTTTTTTCTGATTATGAGCAAAACAAAGACATCCAAAAGTAAGAATTGCATCAAATAAGGATGTTTTATTGAACAAAATTTTGAATGGTGTTTTGTTTTGTAACAAGGGAGTGGGTGTTCGATTAATTAGATGAGCAGTAGCAAGAACACACTCCCCCCAAAAATAGATAGGCAATTTGGCTTGAAACCTCAAAGCTCTCCCAACTTCAAGAACGTGTTTGTGTTTTCTCTCAACCCTCCCATTTTGTTGTGGAGTTCCCACACAAGTGGTTTGAAAAATAATGCCAGTAGCACTAAAATAATCAAGCAAGCAATTAAATTCAGTACCATTATCACTTTACACAACTTTAATGGTTTGAGAAAATTGCCTATCAACCATTGCAACAAATGCCAAAAACATTCGGAAAACTTCAGTTTTATCAACCAACAAATAAATCCAAACTGCTCGAGAATAATCATCCACAATAGTAAAAAAATAACGAGCTCCACATGATTAAACATGCCGATATGGACCCCACAAATCACAATGTATTTTCTCAAAAATCCTAGAAGCCCTACTATCACTTAATGGAAATTTATCTCTAGGATGTTTAGCACGCATACATACTCCACACCCCTTATCAAGACTATCTTTATTGCTACTAACATGAGGAAGAAATTTAACTACTTTCTTGGAAGGATGACTCATTCGACGATGCCACAACTCCAAGCTTGAGGTTGCTTCAACTGTGCCAACATGATTCACCGAATCCGAATTGCTAACCGTCTTTCCTAGCTCCCATTCCAACCAGCTCCTTCGTTTGGTCCTGTATAGCACACATATAAGGGTTAAATTGGACAATACAATTAAGATCATCAGAGAGTTGTGATACTGAAAGCAAATTACAACTCAAATGCGGAGCATAAAGAACCCCAGTGAGAGTAATCTTGTCCGATAAATGAACAGAACCAATTAAAGAAGCCACCACAGTGTCCCCGTTAGGTAAACCAACAGGATATTCAAAATTCTGTGCATCAAACAACCAAGCTTTTTCTCCGGTAACATGATGTGTTGCCCCTGTGTCAATAATTCAAGAAGAAACATCGAACTTACCATTCAAGCGATTTTCGGAGACATTGGTATTACCAAACAAACCCGTAATTGCCTTCCATTGTTCGCTTGAAAACACCTGGCCTTGAGAAGGAGCACTTGTGGTAGGAGCACTCGAATACAAGACTGCATTTGCACGCACTGAACCTTGACCACGACCTCCTGTGGACTTCCCCCCTGGCCGCCGTCACCCATGCTAGGTGGGCATCCATGAAGCTCAAAACACTTGCTCTTAATATGGCCCCTTTTCTTGCAATGATTACACACTTTTTCAGACCAACAACTTGATGTCTCGTTGCCAACTTTCTTGCATTTGACACATGCACAGCACTTGTACGGACAACAAAACCAAGAGCCTCTGCAGGCTTTTGGTCATGCTCTTGCTTTGCCGTACGAACTCGTTCGTCTTGCACAACTAACTGATAAGCACAGTCTAGGCTTGGGAGAGGATCTTGAGATAATATGTTAGTGCGCAATGATGCATAAAAATCAGTATATAACCCCATCAAAAAATCATGCAATTTACTTTATTCTCGCCTAGCCTCATGTAACTGACTAGCCATACACTTCGAACAACAAGTACACGAAATTAATGGCTCATGATGATCTAATTCTTGCCATAAAGCATGTAATTTTCCATAATTATAAACCGAAACAGGCATAGAACGAGTTTGCTCACATTTAGCAAGCGATGATTTTAATTGTTGAATTCTAGGGCCATTAGTTTTAGCAAATCGTTTCCTAAGATACTCCCAAAACAATCGAGCTTCACGACATTTAGAAAGCGAAGACACACCTCTGGATCAATGGTATTAGAAATCCAAGAAATCAACATTGCGTTGATAGCCGTCCAATCGGACTGAGTGCACGGTGGGATAGGTGTCGTGATGGTACAATCCAAAAACCCAAATTTTCGCTTAGACCCAAGGTAGAATGGTGAATTCGGTTCTATTTGTGTAGGAGGGGGTGGCGGTGGAGGTGTATCATCTCCAGCCATTTTTATGGGTTAAAAAAAAAATTCAACCTGCTCTTGATACCATGAATAATTGATGAATGAATTGGCTTAATCTCATTAATGACTTTGCAAGCATATATAATACAAGCTAACCCTTAAGTGATAGGATTAGGAAACAATCAAAAGATATCAATAACTACCAAAAAGATGCTACCAAATATTTCCTAATATATCCGAAAATATATCCGCAATAATTATAAAGTACTGTATAAGTATTATCTATCGATTAAAGTTTTATATGGTAAGCATTGGATGTTAAAATAAATTATCACATGCGCTTTATTTTTTATATATATACATTTCATTGTAAATTTTCATAATTATTGTTATTAATATAAATAAAACTAATTAAATAAATTAATGTTCAAACACGAACATTGGAAGACAAGCTATGCATGAAATGGGGAAGAACTTCTGTGAATTTAGGGAGTATTCGAAATCTAGTTTTCTTTTTAAAAGTGTAAAAATGTAAAGAGCTTTCTTTTTTAAATAAAAAAAAATAGAAAAAAATAGTTAATTTTTTGTAGCCAAGAGGATACGATCCTTGACTTGCACGCAACGCTGATAGAAAACCCTATTTCTTCCACTTATTTTTATAAATACCTTATTTTCATTTAGATATACCCAATTCTCTCGTCTTAATTTCCGATCAAAATATTTGCAAATATGGGTAGAGCAAAATCATCAAACAGTTTCATAGAGAAGAAAAGTAAAAGAAGCTCATGTTTCCGTCTTAAAAAACAAACTTTGTTCAAGAAAGCTCGTGAGCTATCGATCTTGTGCGATGTCCCAACGTGTGTTATCGTCTTTCCTCCTAAAGAAGATAATGCGAAATCCGTAGAACCCGAAGTTATTTCCTACTACGGAGAAGAACAACACCAAGAAACCCAAAATGCAACGAACTCGGAGTTGACTCATACGAAAATTAATCGTTACATTGCATGCCCTAAGGATGATAGTTACAAGAAAAGGTCAAGTAACTTAAGTGATGTGTTAGGAGATGTTAATGAAGAGAAGAATTTAATTAGGGCAGACGATCAAGATTTGAAGTATAATATATGGTCTGAAAATACAAATCTTTCTGATTTTACGCAAGATCAACTAATTCAATTACTTGGTAATTTGGACAACAAATTAGATTCTGTGACACGTAGAATGGACGTGATTAAGGGTGTTGAAATTGATCAACAAAAAAATCCACTCTTGCTCGATGACATATTTTCGCAGTCAGATTACGATGGGTTGCTTGAGGAACTTTTGGAGCCTTACGTAGAGGATCATACAAGGTTTTACAATATGGATCAACGGTCAGGATTTGTTGATAATTCTCTTCTACAATCGCTTCCTATGATGGGTTCCAATTCTAGTTACTATGATGTCGATCAACCGTCAGGATTTATTGATAATTGTCCTCTACAATCGCTTCTTATGATGGGTGATCAAGGGCCGAGATTTACTGATGGTGTTCCTCTGCAATGCGGCTTTCCGACGATGGGTCCCACTTACTGTAATCAAGAAGAGTCAGGATTTGTTGATAATCAAAGTTTTCCTATGATGGACCGTCCGATGTATTGTGATCAAGTGTCTGGGTTTGTTGATGATAATTTGCTGGCCGTGCAGTCTTATAGTAATGATAATGGTTATCTTATGATGTCTGATATTTCCACTTCCGCAGCGCAGTTAAATTAGTTATTTTAATGTATACGGCTTCAAGCCTGAGTAATGATGTCGACGAGATTCAATCCGTGTTTATACGTACATTGTACTGAGAATTTTTTAGGGTCTAGGAACTTTAGTCCACAAGGGCTCTAGGGAAGGGCATAATTGTATTTGTCTTTTTTATTGAAGAGAAAAAGTTAAGTGGTGGACCCCTTGTTCAGATCTTTGTCTGGTGGAGCAAATTGTCGAAATTAAAATTGAAGAGAAAGAGAAAAGTGATGGACTCCCCCTCCTGAATATTGTCGGCTGGAGTATCAATTCATTTACGTCAGAACGAAAAAGTACACCTACACCCTGCATTGATAAATGTTTTTATAATTCGGGCAGTACTTTCCATTGGTATGTCTTACCTACCATGCAAGTTGGAATATATACCAACAGGGACATGATACCATACCAATCAGATAGGTTTTGATACCATACCACCAGGGACGAGGTAGTACAATTTATTAACATGATTAGTGTAAACCATTACAATAATTCTTATAAAAATCAAGACAGCATAACAAATGTTATACAATAACATAATAAGTCTTGCACAATAACATAATAATTCTTACATAATAAGTCTTAAACAATAACATAATCAAGAGAGCATAAAAAGTCTTACACAATAATTCCGAAAGCATAGAATTTAATTAACTATTACAGTCCATTACAAGTAGTCAAATGCCAAAGGGTGGATAATCAAAGGTTTCCATTCTCCAAATATTCCAAGATATGCACAACGTGGCTGCATAGAATACACGAAGGTTTAACATTAGATGATACCAATTGAATGAACCATTTAAGTAAACCCGACCCATACCAACGTACATGTTAATTTGTTTATTGGTATTATTAATAGAGATGGATATACCAACAGTAAGTAAACCCATACCAATTGAATGAACCGTTTAAGTAAACTCATACTAACGTACACATTAATTTGTTTATTGGTATTATTAACAGAGATAGATATACCAGCAGTAAGTAAACCCATACCAACGTAAATATTAATAAATATAGTCGTATTATTAACATAGATAGTTATACTAACATATACAGTTGCAAAAACAGTAAGTAATACCAACAAGTGAACCCAAATTATATGAATGGTAGTTGATGTAATACCTGGGTAACAACAAAAATGAGCTGGATATTAGGTCCCTAATATCTCATTAATTTACAAAACTCGTAATAATGAATTAAATGGAATTCAATGGGAAACCTAATTATTTTGCTGATTTTTATTGTTTGCAAAAAATAAAAAATTTTGAGAACTAAAAATTTTGTGAATTGGGAGGAAGAATGAGAAAATTCCCGCTATCAATTAATTTTGGCGGAAATAACAATACATTTGGGACAAATTGTGACACACAGGATCCACAATACTGTCTTCTTTTTTGTTTTTAACATTCCCTTTGTTTAAAAAGCTTTTTAATTGTTAAAAAGACAAAAGTGAGGCCCACACTTCCCTAGAGTCCTATTGGACCAAAGTTCCTAGAGCCTGAGAATTCCTCCATTGTACTAGAGTACTAGAGTATATGTTTAATGAATTTCTTTAATTAATATAGTGTTAGTTCCCCTTCATTCAATTCTTTGTATTGAGACTATTGACTATGACTCTATTGAGTAATGTTGAATGATAATAAGTGTAGTTTTTTATTACTTTAATTAATTCTATTCTTATTTCCTTTTAATATAATATTACGGAGTATTTATTTTTGCTAACCTGGTTCAAATAATAATTACAATGGGATCCCTGTCTCAAAAACTTTTACAGCAATTTCTTTTTTTTTTTTTTTATATAATACAGCAAATCTTTAGTAACATTGTCCATGAATTAATCAGTACCGCAGTACGTGTATGTAGAAATTCTTACTATGTTAACAAAATTAAGGCGAAATAAAAATACGTACAACTAACATGGATCAATAATAAAACTTGATGTTTACATATAGCCTAGCATTACAACAAGGCTTAATTGATATTGCAAATTAAGGTTACACTGGACTTTTATTCTCTAGAAAGTTTGAAACTTCGCACATTTTACTACTTTGTATAATACTTCACATAATAGTAGTACCAAATGAACCAAATGCATAAGCATTATATAGAGTTGTTAGATTAATCAGGCCTTAAGAAGATAAGCATCGAGGTCTTGGAAAGTTTTGACAGCAAAAGCCTTGAAAATGATTTCAGGGTCAGGGGCATCATCTTTGGCCTTCTCGAATTCACATGACCATTTCACCAAGCTTCCTTCATCTTTCGGTTCGACTGCGAGTTGTGCCTTGAAACTCTTGTAGAAGGTAAGTATGTCGCCTTCAACTACAGAGTATCCTACTGTCTTCTTTGCTTCGTCTACCACGTCGACCTTCTCCTTTGACATAGTAATCAGGGGAATTCCTATAAAATTATATTGTAAGGTGGATTAGCAATTATGATTAGAGTATAATGTAGACAAATTTGAGGATATAAATTTTGTTACATAACATCATGTAGTCATTCCATGATGTGTGTGCCATATTAATTAAATAGCATTTATTGTTGTATAAACATGAAACATATCTTATATCTACATTGTGTATGAATGTAATTTTACTAGCTTAGCTAGTAAAGTACACGTTTTTTTGCAACTTTAATAACTAGTGCATAAAAAAATTTAAACCCAATATCAATATGTCCCAAATCCGAATTTACAGTACAACCCGAAACCAACCCGATTAACTAATTGGACAGCCATAATATACACGTATATATAAGCTAAGTATGTTATATGTTGTGATCATGGTAAAATTGTAGTGTACCTTCAGCAAATTTGACGAGGCGAACCGATCCGACATCCTTGCCATCACCTTCAAGGACCTCAATGCTCTTGTATAACTCAGGGAATGCCTTAGGAAAGAGCTTGTCTGATTCCCTAATGCTGTTCCAGAACTTCTCTGGATTACTCTTCACTTCTACATCTACCTCAAGCTTTCCAATAGAAGCCATTGTTTTTTCTCTCTAATTATAATATAAAAAGATATGATATGATATTATGAAATGATACAAACTTAATGTCACATGAAATGAGTTTATATAAGCAATTTTTTTGGAGTGGCTTTAAATTTAGAGGCTGGCTAGCTAGTAGTTCAACTGCTTTATAACATTTAAATTTACATATAATTAATTGTCCCACTCTTTTTGGTGGTGTTATTTAATTTGGTGTTGGTCCTATATAGATTATGGGTGAACATTAATTATGCATCATGTACTATGATGATGATGATGATATTTGAATTATTGGATGGTAAATTGCTTCAATTGTGACTGAATTGATGGTTAGATTGATAATAGTTGAGAGTGATGGGGGATTGGAACATGCTTTAATTAGCTAAGTACCTAACAAAGTACATAATACTTATTAGCCTTCAAAATGTGTATGGAATTAATTAAGTAATTTTTAGGATAGTGAGTTTATTTATGTTTAAGATGTTGAAATATGAAACAAACCTAAAAAGAGGGAGAGAGATTGAGAGCCAAACTGATTACAACTTTGAATCGTTGAAACACAATTCATGGCTAGCAATTAGGACTATTGTACACTTTAATCTTTAAGGGACGATCATCACATATCAATGAAGTTAACTTCTAAACATGTGAAGAAAAAAAAAAGTAAAAACAAAGCTTTGATCAAGATTTAAGGAGACAAATGAGTCATTTAAATTGGATTTATGTCAATTCAATTTAGATCAGGTCATATTCAGGTGATGAATTATCCTTAAGTATTTTTTTTTCTTTAATTCTATTTGAATTCATATAATATGTCTCTATTCTCAAACAACTTCATAATAATCAAATAGTTATATATTGTGATATAGCAAGGTCGAGTTTAGAGCACCCTTAAGGGTGAACAATTAAATGGTTCACAATGAGTGAACAATAAAATGGTTGGCTTAATGGCAAATTCTAAGTTTGTTCATCTTGAGTGATTGCAAGTTCGATTGTTGCTGCAATCAGTCAGAGGAACAAATTCGTTGTGGGCCCCACCCAATTTTTCCACTCAACTAAAAGCAAATTTACAAAATACAAATCCAAAAAAAAAAAAAAAAAATTACCAACGGCTTTCTTTTTTTCCCCTCTATAAATAGACACCCATATTGATATACTTTCTTCAACTTTAAAAATCCATTTTCTTTTCTACTATATTTTTCTCTTCAAAAATCCCCTCACTAATTACCAATATTATTATTATTTTTACCAATATTAATATTATTATTGTTATTATTATTTTTATTTATTATCATTAATATTATTATTATCGTTACTATTATTATTATTATTATCGTTATTATTATTATTATTATTATTATTATTGTTATTATTATTATTATCGTTATTATTATTATTATTATTATTATTATTATTATTATTATTTCTGTTTATTAAGATTGTTAAGATTATTATTATTATTATTATCATTATTATTATTATTATTATTTTTTCTGTTTATTAAGATTATTAAGATTATTATTATTATTATTATTATTATTATTATTATTACTACTACTACTATTAATATTAATTTTTTTTTTCCAATTATAAATTATAATTATGGATGCTAATACCAACCCCAATACAAATAGAAAGCAGAAAAAAAATTTGGGTCAAAATATTATCCCAAATCAAGCCAATTTCTATCCAAATCCCCCTAATTTTTCACAAACACCCACAAATATTCCCCATAATTTTTCTAGTGTTTATCCTCAAAGACCCCAGTCAAGTTTCCCATATAATCCACCAAATTTCCCTCAATATTTTAATTTTTCTCAAAGCAGTTCAAATTTCCCACATCCATCCATGACACCAATGGGTTACGGTGAATATGGTGCTGCATCTGGTTATTTTTCGTCACAACAACTGAATCCCAATATTTGGGAATCGAGCAATGTCTTATATGAAGAAGATGAGGCAAATGAAGAATGCGAGGATGATGGTGAGGGAAATGAAACTCCTTCCCCCCATCAAAACTTCACTCAAATGTTACAGCAACCACTCCAATCAACTCCGGAATTTCATGTTGGTTGTTCAAACAATAGAAGTTGGTCGCGATCAGAAACTGCGGCTCTTATATCCGCCTACATGAACACCAACACCAACATAATTATCGGCACAAATCAAAAGAAGGGTCAATTTTGGAACAGAGTCTTGGACGCATACGATGCTGCCAGGGTATCGAATCCAGTTGAAATATCCCTACGAACTATTAGTAGTTTGAAGGGAAGGTGGATGCGAATCTCTGAAGCCGTGTTAAAGTGGTGCGGAAGCTATGATAAGGCCCGGAAGCGAATGGGAAGTGGCTATAACGAAGATGATGTTATCCAAGAGGCCCACAAAATCCATGAGAACTCGTTCGGACGATTCACCTTCTACGAGGAATGGACAAATTCCGATCTTTCTTGGACCAACAAACATTCAAGCCTTCGGTGGGACGTCCACATTCAACTCCACTGACGGATGAGTCTGTAGGGAGCGGAAGTAGTGGGAAGAGGACACGGGATGAGGGTGAAAATTCCTCACCTACCACACCGACCAGCATGGGTGTCAGTGATGAGAGAGTAGCTCGTTCTGAAGGAATTAAAAAGGCTAAGTCGAGGTTGAAGGGTAAAGCTCCATCAAGTGAAGCATTTAAGGAATTAGAAACATTCAACACCCGATTGCAGCTATTTGGGGATTCGATGAATATGTCAAACGAAGCAGAAATGAAGAGGCTTGAAATACAGGAGCGCAAGGAGGCAAGGAAACAACGGAAAATTAAGCTAGAACAACATAGGATCCACTGGGAGCAACTAGCTCGTCTAGAACAGAAAGTAAACCGAGAACAGTGGGAAGACGAAATGATAGTAATACTTCAGAACAAAATTAAAAGTTTCACTAATGATGCTTAGGCATTGTAATCTTCATTTTCAGTAGTGATAAGTTTTCAATTCCAGTTCAACCTCTTGTACTCATTTCCAATTATTTGTACTTTATCAATTAATCAGTAAAATGGATCTTTTCCACTATCCCATTTTCATAGCCCATGTGATCTTTGTCTCTTTATTCAATTATATCAATTTGTCTCTTTATATATAATTATGTAAGTATCTTAATTTCCCCTTTGTTAGCCCATATGAAACCCTTCTTCTCCATTCAATTTCTGTGTGGTTCTAATCCAGTGTTTGTCATAGCCCATGTGATCTTTGTCTCTTTATATTCAGTTATTTCTGAAGAAGAATTACAAATTAGTTCACTATAAATAAACACCATTCTTTCATTTATTTTACACACAAACACATAAATCGTTTGCAGTTATTATTAGAAAACCTCACTCTATCTTACATTTCTTACGTAGAAAATGAATTCAAACAGTTTCAACTTAAGCTCAACCGATTCCTCTTCATCTTCATCTAACTCGGATGATGAGGGAAGGGAGCTTAGAGTTCAACAACGTAATGAAGTGTGTCTTATGATACAACACGTAATGCATGAGTATATTCCACCAATTATTCAAGCTGCCACTCAGCAACGCCGACGCAAATCTACTGAGCCCCGAAAGGATAGGGGACGCGAAGAAGGTCATGCACGGTTATACAATGACTATTTCGCGGAAGTCCCAGTTTATCCAAGTTCCTTGTTCCGGCGCCGGTTTTGAATGCGTAAACATGTGTTTGAGCGCCTTCTCAACGCAGTGACCCAACATGACCCTTGGTTTCAACAAAGGCGAGATGCGGCAGGTCGTCTTGGGTTGTCTCCACTTCAAAAGTGCACTGCGGCCGTTAGACAACTAGCTTACGGGTGTGCTTCAGACGCTTGTGATGAGTGTGTCCGTATAAGTGAGGCTACTTCACGATTGACACTCCAAAAGTTTACAGAAGGTGTCATCAACCAGTTCGGTGATCAGTACCTACGCCGTCCAAACATCGCAGATATGGAAAGATTGCTACGTATTGGGGAAGAACGTGGATTTCCTGGCATGATAGGCAGCATTGATTGTATGCACTGGGAGTGGAAGAACTGTCCACACGCATGGAATGGGCAGTATCAAGGAAGAGCAGGAGTTGCAACTCTCGTACTGGAGGCAGTTGCGGACAGAGATCTATGGATATGGCATTCGTTCTTTGGGATGCCAGGTAGCTGCAACGATATTAATGTGCTTCATCGATCCCCTGTGTTTGAAGACGTCTTAGAGGGTCGAACACCTGCTGTGAACTTCGTAGTCAATGGTCATCATTATACGAATGGGTATTATCTTACTGATGGAATCTACCCTAGATGGGCTACTTTTGTGAAATCCATTACGAGTCCACAAGCTCGTAAGGATCGTTTATTCGCAAAACACCAGGAAGCTGCAAGGAAAGACGTTGAACGCGCATTTGGGGTCCTTCAAGCTCGTTTTGCCATTATTAAAAAGCCGTCTTTGGCGTGGGATACCGACATACTCCACAATATCATGCTCGCCTGCATCATAATACATAATATGATCGTTGAAGATGAACGAGAGACGTATCAAAATAACGTTAATACCAATGAGTTTATGAATGCTGGAGGCAACGCTAATGAGGACACTACCGAGTACCGTACTGATCGTATTGTGGATATCGGCTTATACTTGACTCGTAGAACAGAGATTGAGGATCAACAGACTCATTTGCAGCTAAAACACGACTTGGTCGCACATATATGGAATAAATTTGGTAACAACGAGAACTTACGCAATTAGGTTTACAACAAATGGTTATCCCTAAGGACATCTTACAAAACGATGTGTAGTAGTTCTTTTTTTTTTTAAATGTACTTGATTATAGTTGTATTACTGTAATCACGATTTGTACCTCTTTTTTTTAATTATGTTAATTAAAATTAGCGGCGTTGTTGTTTAAAAATATTGATCACAAGAATTAGTTTTTAAAAAAGCTGATAAAAAAACGCGATAATTTCTTAATTAGTAATCACGATTAAAAAATTAAATACGTCAATTAATTACATTGACATCGAGTTAATAAATTATAATTATGAATTAAATAGATTATATTTACAAAAATAAAATAAGGTGGGGTAGGGAGTATTGATGATGAACCATTGTTTAGTGTTCATTGTTAAGAGTGAATATTGTAAATGGTTTGTTGGGTTGATGTGGATGAGAGAGAAATGGTGATAGTGACCCATGAACCATTTTTTTTTTGTTCACCAATAATGATGCTCTTAGGCGCAAATCAAATACTTGGTATTTCGGAACAAGTAATCGGAATCTCCTCTCGAAGGGATTCTACCATTCTAAAAACCAACCCCTCAGTCCCCAACAATCCAACATCCAAAAATCTTACGGATGGCTTGCAGTAAAAGCGGGCCAACTTGTGGGACCCATCCAAATCTTGAATTTGTTAGTTAGCTGATACGGAACAAAATTATTAAGATGGGCGGCAGTAGGCACTCGGTATAGACTTCTCATTATGATTGATTGCACCTACAAATTGAAAAGCCCATTGCCATTATTCTAGGACTGACCCAACACTATGGGCTATAGTTTCAATGATCCATACGTTTAAATTTTTTTTTTTTTTTTGTTGGAATAGAGTCACAACTCACAATGTTAATACGATACAAATTAGATAATTCTCGAGTCATGTTTAGTTTTTAGAAATAATAGTAAATAAAAGAAAATTTTGATTATAATAATCCAACATTTGCGCAGTCTTTTTTTATTAATCTGACCTTTTGATTATTCCACAATAATCCAAGCTTTGGGGGTATTCTATTCTATTAGGCCAAGGTGACTTGTTACTTGTTCTTCAAGTATTGTTTTTTTTTTCATTTTTTTAAGTTAAAAAAAAAATTCAGCTTTTCCTTTCCCCCATTGATTCCAACAGCTAAATCCCCGTCCGGCAACCACTTCAAATCCCGGCCACTCCCTCCCCCCAACCTCCCTTTCCCGGCCAACCTCTCCCCATTCCCCTCTCATTCCGCCGTTTCGTCCATCCCTCCCCCCCCCCCCCTCCAGCCATGCCTCACCGTACAAAAACCCAAAATTCCAAATCAACACCCAGAATTTCGAATCAAAACCCAGAAATAAGGGCTTGTTCTTTGATGTTTCAAGCAAAACCCGAAAACAAGGGCTTCCGAAGAAGATGATTTGATGTTTCAAGCAATTGAACCTTCAATTTGAGGCATTCATTAGGTAAAGAAAGTCCCCATAGTATGATTTCCTACTATGGAGGGAAATTGAAACAAAGAGAGAAAGAAAGAAGAAGAAGGATTTGGGGGAGAGAGAATTTGAAAAAAATCGGCAGTGGGGTGGGGATTTGTGATAGTTTCGATGGTGGGTGGGGGTTTTTGGGTTCGAGGTCAAGTTTCAACGGAGGGTCGGGTTTCTGGATTCAGGGTGTCGTGTTTCTGGGTTTTGACTAGGGTGGTGGTTGGTAGGGTGAGGTTCATTGTTGTAGGAGGTGGAAGTGGAGGTGTAGTGGGCGGAGGTCTGGCCGGAAGTGGGAACCATTCATGAAGGTGTGGAAGGGAGGAAGAAGATGAAGATGATAGGGGAAAAAAAGGGAAATTTTTTTTTATTTTCTAGACAAATGAAAATGCGACACGTGGCAAGTGACTTATTATTGTAGGTTAAGTGACCTGCTTGGCCTAATAGAATAGAACACCCCCCAAAGTTTGGATTATTGTGGAATAATCAAAAGGTCGGATTAATAAAATTAGATCGCGTAAAGGTTGGATTATTAAAATCAAATTTTCCTAAATAAAATATAGAAATCTCTGGAAAAATGTAATTCAATGGTCATAATAATAGATAATTACATAATTATGAAGTTTCTAGCCAAGTTAATGAATTGGAAATATATATATATATATATAGATATATATATATATATATAAATTAAAAAAAAAATCTCCTGTTTATATACAAAGCATATACTTCCTCCATTAACGGTTATCTACAACATTTACTAAAAGTAGGTGCTTCCTATCATTTGCAACAAATTGTTTTATTTCCTTAATTAGTAACTTTTTAATCTACAAAATTACCATACTGCCCTTGTTAAAAACTAATTAGATACTAACCTAATGTTTTACTCTAATTAAATAACCCTATAATCATCACATCTAACCTAACGATTCCCACCAAATATTACCCTCATTTATCCCATTATCCATCCATTCATCAGATTCTCTTCATCTCCTCACCCACCCTCTTCATTGCATCCTTCAACCACCTCCATTAATGACGCCTCTATACTTCTGGAATCTCTTCCAGATTCCAACACTCTTCTCTTCTGTTGTTTCGATCTGCCCTACCTCACTCTCTCTCTTCTCCCAAAAGCGACCTCTTTTACCTCACTCTCTCTCCTGGTTGAAGCCCTAATTTCTGTAGATCTGGGTGTTCTTCTACTTTGTTCCTCCAAAAACCCATAAAAATGAGTTCCCCAAACGAAAAAAACCCAGATCTGGGCGTTGTTGCGACCTACAAGTGCCAACGACGTACTGGGAAGATGAGATTGATTGGAACGCGTATGGCTACTTACCTGGATATGAGGCGTACGTCTGGTGAGGGTGCAAAGCTTACTCCATACGACTCTGATAAGGAGCGTGGTGAGGCTAAGGATGCAGATCTAGGCAACAAGGGTGAGGGTTCGACCAAAAAGGGAACTGATGTCAATGTTCTGAAGGGCGAGGATGTTGAACCCCCTTTTGCAGCCTGTTCGCCGGCGAAAACCGTTCAAGAGGCGGTGGATGAGGGTAGATCTAGCTCTACCCAAGTTCTCTCTGGCAAAAAAAGGGAGAGATCTGAGTTCCTTGTTGACGAGGCTGTTGAAAGCGGTGGGGATTACAACCCTTCCAACTCTGGCTCCAACTAATCCTGCAGCGTAACTCTTTTCTTACCCTTAAATTTATTGATTCATCAAGTTCAGGTACTCTCAGTTTGTGATTTATCTGCTGGTTATGATTGTTATCCTGATTTGGTTGCTGGGTGCCCTAATTAGGGTCTGTTTGCTATTTTGAGACTTATTGCTAGTAATTGTTGACTGTTGTTGGGTGAAGAGGTGGCTTGTTTGAACTAATTTATGATTATTAGCCTGATTTGCATGCTGGTTGCCCTAATTAGGCTCTGCTTGCTATTTTGAGACTTGTTGATAGTAATCGTAGGCTGTTGTTGGGTGAAGAGGTGGCTTGTTTGAACTGATTTGTGATTAATAGCCTCATTTGCATGCTGGTTTCCCTAATAAGGCTCTGTTTGCTATGTTAAGACTTATAGACAGTAATTGTAGGCTGTTATTGGGTGAAGAGGTGGCTTGTTTGAACTGATTTGTGATTATTAGCCTCATTTACATGCTGGTTGCCCTAATAAGGCTCTGTTTGCTATGTTAAGACTTATAGACAGTAATTGTAGGCTGTTATTGGGTGAAGAGGTGGCTTGTTTGAACTGATTTGTGATTATTAGCCTCATTTGCATGCTGGTTGCCCTAATTAGGCTTTGTTTGCTATGTTGAGACTTATGCACAGTAATTGTAGGCTGTTGTTGGGTGAATAGGTGGCTTGTTTGAACTGATTTGTGATTATTAGCCTCATTTGGTTGCTGGTTGCCCTAATTAGGCTCTGTTTTCCATTTTCAGACTTGTTGATAGTATTGGTTGCATGTGATTGGGAATTTGGGTGCTATGGTTGTTGGATACTGTTGTCTAGTTGTTGGTACTTCTGTCTCTGGGGTTGTATTTGTTCATTTGTGGGTACTCATTTCTCTGTTGGTTGTGTGGGTCAATTTGTGAGTTTTGTCAATTGGTTGGCTATTCCTGGTTTCTGTTATGTTTTGATTGACCTTGAGGTTGAACAAATTAGGCATACTAAAGGCATTGGGATTTTTGATATGGTCAATGATGATGAACTTGTGGCCTGCATGTCTGTCCCTGTATGAGTCCCCTTATGAGATGTCTGTCCCTAGGTGATCTAAGAGTCCCTGACTATTTTGTGTGTGGGTGGAAAATCCAAGTGATGAAGGGACTCATTGATACATAAAATTCATAAGTTGGAATTGCTCCAACAACTTCATATGTGAGTTGTTGTTGAGGGAACCACTTATGCAATTTCTGTGAAAAAAAAAAACCCCTCTGATGGATTGATGTATGTGTCTGTGTATCACAATTGCTCTAATTTAGTAATCACTTGTTGAAAATAAACCAACCACAATTGATGTCACAAAGTCTATCAAAAGCTTGTACATGTTCAAAAAAAAGTTAGTTAAGACTGCCTTACAATAATAGTAACCATGACTGTAAACAAAATACACCTAACCAATGACAATCATACAATTATCAAAATAAAAAAGGAAAACACTACCTACTAGGTTTCCAGTTGCTTCCTTGCTATTCATTGGTTATGTGTGGCAGTCTCACTGTCACCTTGCTCATGTGTTTGACTTGTGTTCAGTCTGCATCAACTTTCATGCCTTCATCTTCTTCATTGCCTTCACCTGTTGATATGAATATAGTGTTGAGGTAATCAACAGCTTGTTGAACCACATTCCTGTCCACCTCTAGTTGCTCTGGTAGCATGCCAAGTCTTTCCAGCCTTTTCTTCCCTTTGTGTGGTAGGGTAAAGTTATTCCCTCCTAGATGCTTCAATATTTCTTCCATGCAACATTGTAGTGTTATCCAACAGTGCTTATTCAACACTGGGTTGAACAATTCATATGCCTCTTTGACCTTCTCTATGAGTTCCTTTAAGTCCTTAGGAAATGACTGGTATTGTATGGATTGTATGACATTGAACAACCCAAGATCTAGCACATTTAAGTCGGGGGACTGTGTTGGGTGGTAAATGAACTGAAATGTGAACCCATCTGACTGACAGGCAGCAATAAATTCCTCATCCTTAGGAATTTGATGTGGTCTGGCATTATCCCACTGAATCATATGTCCTTGGACAGATGGGGCGGCCATTTACTTTTGATGGCTGAAAGTACATTGTTCAGAAGCATTGCCCTAATTGCCTCCTTGTTCACATTCTGTGTTGCCTTTATTTCCACAGCACCAGCCTCCCTATTTTTTCTTTTTTTCTTTGTTGTGATGTCATACACAAATGGAAATATTCCATACTTTCCATCATGTAGTACTACTCCATGGGTGTCAAATATTGGCTTTCCTATGACTGCCATGAACATGCCTTTTACCTTGAACCTTTTGGACTGTTGGCACCTATATAGGTTAGGCTCATTTGGCAGGAGGTAGAACCTCCTTGTTTCTGGGTTCAAGTAGAACCATTTTTCATCAATGTGTACTACTTGTTGCATATCCATAAACTTAGGATCCCCATTCTTTACAGCAGGCAGTAGATGACTTAAAACCCATTTCAGTCTTGCTATCTTGTGGTTGGATGCAGTGCTGGGTGATTTGTGCTTGTATGTGTTCTGAATCTCCCTTTTTTCTTTAATTTATGGATGGTGACATGTGAGATTTTGAGAGCAGCTAAATAGCTTCTCTCAGTTGCCTCTTTTACAGTGGGACTGATTGCAGAAACTCATCTGTGTACTCTGTTGGTTTGGGTCCAGTTTTGCCAAGCTTCTTACTCCTGACATCTATCACATTCCCCACTGCCATTTGGGATTTTATGTCTGTGAATAGCCTCTGAATTGTTGACCTGTGCACATTGAACTTGATTGCTTGCTGTGATAAATACCCTCTTGGCAATTCCCCACCCTCTAGCTTCAAAAGAAAAGCATCAACAAGTTCTCTTTTTTGGGAAACAGTGAGTTGTTTTCTGCCTTTGGGTTGCTACATTGCTTCTTCATGTATGTTGTTGTTATCATTGTATTCAGTCCCTTCCATGGTGCTTGACTGACTGTGTCCCATATTGCTTTCATCGTTTAGCATTTGATCAATGCTGAAAAAATCATCATCTAAATTTTCTGCCATGTTGCCTATTCTAATAATGCTGAGTTCCCCAGATTTCAGGGCTGGTAATGAAGTGAGGTGGCTTTTTTTTTAGTGTTGTGTTGTTGCTGAACCAGAGGAAACGGATGAAGATGTTGCAACTAACCTAGGACTAATTAGTTGTAGGATGTTAGTTTAGGTCTAACTTTTGGGAAGAAACAATGGTGTTATTAAATGTAGGAACTTTTGTTTTGAATGTTGTAATGAATTCTAGCAGGTTCTATTAATACCCCCACCTTGAATGAAAAATTCAAAGGGAGGGAAAAATTTGGGTACAGTCTGAATTTTTTAAAGGGGAGGGAAAAATTCGAGGGGGGGAACTTTAAGTACAAACTGAATTTTTTGAAAAAGGAGGGTAAAATTTTTTGTGGGGGGGGGGGGAATTTGGCCCCTAAAAAAAACGGACCACTTTCTGGCAGATTCTCTCTCCAAAAAAAAAGGGACCACTTTCCCTCCTTTTTAAATGGCTTAATCACATGCCCCTCTTTCCAATTACCCACTCCTAAACAGCCACTAAAAGTTTTGCATTGGCCTCCGTGAACGGTACGGTTGTTGCAAATAACCATTAACGGAGGAATTACTAGTTTTGTGCCCTAGGGGTGAAAGTAATACGGTTTAAAACCAAAATATTTCGGTTTGGATCGGTTTCAAAAATCCAAAACCGAAATATTCCGATTTGGATTTGGTTTGGGGCTTCAAAAAACCGACCACCGAAATTTCAAACCGAATTATACAAAGCCCAAATATCCTAGCCCATTTCCCCTTCATATATAAACCTAAACCCTTTTTTTTTTCTCCCTCTTTTCCCTTTCCTCTTTCCTTTCTTCTGAGTTCAGATCTTGCGGCTCACCACCTCCCTAAATTCTCACCACCGCCGTCAGCACCTCCCTCACCACCTTGCGGCTCCCTCACCACCTTGTGCGAAGACCTCCATTGCGTCAGACCTTGCGGCTCCCTTGTGCGTGCTCCCTCACCAACACCTCCGTCATTTTCACTCTCTCATACAACACTCAAAGGTAACAGATCTATTCCATTGGTAATTCCATTGATAGATGTTGGCTGTTTATCTTCTGGTTTTTTCCCCAATCGCGTTGGTTCTTATGTCTGTTGTTATGTTCGAATTAATCCCAAATCGTGTTGCCCTTGTTAGTTAGCCACTTGTTTTTTAGATGATTATACATCATACCTGAATTTGATTATGTTCGAATTTGATTGTTTTATAGATTATGTTCGAATTTGATTGTTTTTTAGATTATGTTTGAATTTGATTGTTTTAGTTTGGTTGTTCTGTATTTTAAGTTTGGAAATTTCGGTTAGATTATATGTTTATATGTTGTTCTGAATTTTAACTTTATTGTATTATATGTTGTTATGAGGTGTTTATGTGTTGTTCTGAATTTTAAGTTTGATGTATTATAAGTATGTTGATTAAAGGTTTGAAGAGTTGAAGCTGACATGTTATTGAAGGCCTTGAAGCTACTGCCATCATGTTGGACCTGTTGCAATGTTGTTGAAGCTTCCGTGTTGAATTTATTAGTATAATGAGGACTTTTATTGCATTTTTAAGACTTTTGTTATGTCGGAAATTTTATTCTAATGGCTGGACTCTTTTTTTTTATTATGCTATCTCCTAAATTTGGCAAATATTACGCCTTAAGACTTTTTATGGACTGCTAACTTATTGTTGTGTTGTAATTCATAAAATTATTAAGCTTTTCCTTTAAAAATTTATGCTTTTGTTCAGGAACAAGTACAAAATTAGGCCATCAAAAGGGCCAAAACAGAAAGGTCCAATAACAGGCCCAATTTTTAGGCCCAAAACGATAGCCCAAAAAAATTTCGGTTTGGATTGGATTCGTTTATGAAAACCGAATTATTTGGGTTTGGATTGGATTGGATTGGATTGGATTGAATCTAAATTCGATTTGGCCAATAATCCAAACCGAAATCCGAACTTTCACCCCTATTTGCCCCGGCGATGCCCAAATTGTTGATAAGATTTTAGAATAAACTTCTTGGTTTGAATGCTAAATACGGTTATATTTATATAATCCCTTTTGATAATGCAGGATATTTAGATATACGATATCATATCGCTTATTTGTATAATAGTGTACTTTTTGTACTTTTGTTTGTAAATAGCTATTTATGCTATTGTTGACTTGAAATTAGCTTTATTGAACTTAAATTATTTTTATTGAATTAAAACCGATTAAAACTTATTTTAACTAATTTTCTGTTATTTTAAAAAAAAAAAATATTATAAACGGAACTTATTTTAAAGAACTCTTTTAAATGACTTTTATGATGGAAATAGAACTGAGTTATAGGATATTTATTAAAAATTATGATTAATTTTTTAAAAATGGAATATTAGAATTATATTGTTAATAAAACTCTGTACAACATTTTTATTATCTTATAAAATTTATCCAAAATTCGCTTATTTAACATCATGTGTCACAATAATACCTATTTGTCGCCTACATGACTTGACACTTGGCGAAAAACTGGAATGCCAAGTGTCTCTGTCTTGTGGCTTGACTGTGAGACCGGCTTTATTTATTAGTGATATGATAAGGCATATATATATATATATATATATATATATATATATATATAGATAGATAGATAGATAGATAGATAGATAGATAGATAGATAGATAGATATATAGATATATATATATATATATATATATATATATATATATATATATATATATATATATATATATATATATAGATAGATTAGTGAAATTATAAATGGAGGTGGCGAGATTTGAGCATGTGATCTATCATGCTCATCAGTATATTTGTGTAAACTAGTTGTGGGCCTGCACACGTGTTAAGAGGTATTTTACAATTGCTAATGTTGTTCATGTAGACATGTAGCTACATTATTGTATGTTTTTAATAGGTAACTAGTTTGTGGTCCAGGTGATACCCCGGGTTGCTAGTTTGTACTTCTTTAATTTGATAATTATGTTCGACTATTTGTATAGTTAGTGTGTGGTTCGGGCATTCTCTCGGGTGTTATTGTTATTTATTTTATTTTTGTACCTCATATGTATTTAATTTTTAATCTTGTGAAAAATAAATAAAAAATATGACCTCTAATTTACTTAATATATTAAAGGAATATATAATGTTAATTATGTGAAATTTAAGACATTAATCAAAGTTGGTTGAGATGGTAAATGTATGACCTTTGTATTTTGGAGGTTACGGGTTCTATTCTCGCTTTCAAAGCATAATTTGTTTTGTTAAATGAAGTAGCAAGCTTACATGGCGCATATTCCTTTGGATAGTGACGTGGCATTGTGCAAATATTTTGAAGAGTGTCATATGGCACCGTTCCCTTAAAAGAAACGCCTTTTAATATATATATATATATAATAGATGCTTTCTAGATCTTTTGGAATTAATTGAAATTTTCATGTAAAATTTTAGTTGAAAGTATGGTTCTGTTTTTTTGTTTGGCGGAATAAAGTATGGTACTTAAGTGAACCCATTAATTTTACCAAGATCGAATAAAAAGAAAATTTAAAATTACTACATTTTCTAATATTACTATTACTAAATAGAAAGTGAGTGTTGTTTCAAAAAAATAAAAATAAAACGAGTGTTAAAAATGATGTATCAGAAGTTACTTCATTAGTACTATAGGAGTTACTCGGTCAATGCATGTTACAGGGGCTACTTCGTCAGTGTTATAGGCCGTTACTCGATCAGTATTACAAAGGTTACTCAATCAGTAATATAGGGGTTACTTTGTTCTTTTATAAGGTCAGCCGCAAACAAAACATGCTGAAATAAATATTATTTTCAAAATTTAAAATAGAATTTTAAAATAATAATAATGATTTTATTTTGAACATAAAAAAAAGCCAAAAACAATGTTTACGTGGAAAAGATAATCAATCATAAAGCTCCATATATCAAATCTTTTGGTTGTCATTTTTCAAGAGACTATTATAGAATTTTCACCAAGCTCCACAGTAAGGCAGTTTTTAGACATTACGACTAATATGTGGCCTAGGTGTTGTCCCGAGATGTTAATTTGAATAATTTTCCTTTTTATAAAAGGTTTTGTGATGAAATTAATTAACATATAGGTGACAACAATGAATTAATAAAGTATTGTAGTTTTCAGCACATTATTGTATAATACATTTGAATTATAATGTTGAATAGCGAAGACAATTCAAAGAGTTCTATGATTTATTTCTCTTAAGTTTAGATGCTTTTTTATTCTACATTTAAATATATTTATGTACATGGATAGAGTGTAATGTGTTGTTAGTTAGGATGGCCAAAAGAAGTGTGGTTTTCATTCACTGAATTTAGAAGTTAAAACCTCTTTCTACGTATTTTTAGTAACATTGACATGGGGTATTGAGTGGTATGGTGATGTGACACAATACTAGTGCAAGAGGAGTACACGTGTTACGTTGGCAAGGGCCACTGAGTGGTGACATGGCACGATAATATTGCAAGAAAGATACACGTGACATATAACTTTTTTAGGAATGTTTTCTAATATGCTTTGGTATAAGTAAAGATTTAATTTTTCTTTTTTTGGAAAAAAAACTTTTTTAATGGGATTTGAAGAAACCCAACAACCTCCAAACTAAGTGAACCCTTTTTTTTTTTTAGCTTTGGGGAAAGGAACCAATACAAACATACTCCGAATTGTTACTAGTATTCTATCTTGCAACGAGATAAGCCACCTTATTACAAACCCTTTTTACACGAGAAATACCAAAGAAAACAAAGTTTAAGCTATCCTTTCTAATATCTTCGTAAATTAGGTGAACAGGAGTGCATCCATTACTTCCTTTCTCGACCTGTTGAACAACATTACCAGCATCGCTTTCCACCCAAACACGCATGTAGCTAAGCCTCAAAGCCAATCGAAGGGCATAGCGGACTGCCAGTGCTTCAGCAATATCATTGGGTCATGCTTGAAAGATCAATTTTTGTAAATATTTGAGCCAAACAATAAATTTGGGTTCGAATCCTTCTAACATCGTCTTATCGGGTCATATGACTTGAGGAGAGAAGGGACAACAAGACCATATTGGATCTTAAGGAGAAAACATAAATACAAGACCATATTGACTTAAAGAGGATAATATAGTTTTACCAAGTCACTTGCCATTTGTTGTCAAACCACCTAGATTAGTGAATGCGAGAAGTTGAATAAACATAAAACACTACCAAGTATACAATACATTAGCTAATATAATTGTTAAGTGTACTTCACGTTCAACATTGTTGAAGGCATACATGAATGAAAAGGCAATATATTATTTTTTGTTGCATTGACGCTTTCATATATTCATATATACCCCCAAATCTTTATGACAGTAGCACCCAAAAAAAAAAAAAAGGTTTAGTTTTTAGTTTAAAGTTGGGTGCATTTGCAAAATATGACTTTGAACATTAATGTATTCAATTATCAAAGAAAAAATCATAATAAGTTTATATTTGGAAATTTGGAGGAATTCTTCGCACATATAATAAGTCCTCACATGAGAATATAATTACTCTCTCCATTTCGTAATATTCACAACACTTTTTTTTACGTCTGTTTTGTATTAATTGCAATAGTTCCTTACTTGTTAAGGATCCACTATTATTTTATTACTTCTCTCTCTTACCAACCCCATTTATACTGCTTTTTTATAATTTTCTCTCCTACTAACAATTAAATATATCCCTACTAATTACGAGTATACTTTGTATTACCGTATAAATTCTCTTTTTGATTACCACCCTATAATTTTCCTAAAATTTTGTACAACATCTAGTGTTGCGATTATTACGAAACAGAGGAAGTTTGCTTTTTTTCATACATATAAATCATAAAAGAAAGTCAAAATAACGTAGTACTAAGTATACTAATATAAGTATATGAATAATGTACAAAGTTATAGTTAAAACAAAACGGAAGAAGTAGGACACTTTCATAGGACTATGATATACTCCAATACTAGTCAAACGTAAAGAAGGCGCATTATCCTAGAATGATTCGTACGTCAAGTACTATTTCAATGCATTTTATAACATTGCCTCAGCTCACTAATTAATTTCATCTTCTCAATTTTAACTCATAGCTTGTTCATGAACTCTTAACAAAATTGCTACATATTTTACTCTTGTAATGTTTGCCCTACTTTGCCTTCCTCTTTCTCTTATTCCCATTGCTAACTCAATATCCTTCAAATTTTCTCGATTCGACCCAAATTCAACAAGAATACATTACCAAGGGGATGCTGTATACTCAGTAGGAAAAGTTGAGTTTAACATGGTTGATTACATACCCGCGTTGGCCAAATTACCTATGGTGATAAAGTTCGTCTTTGGGATAAAAAAAACTTTAAAAAAATCAGATTTTTCAACCAATTTTACCTTTGTTATTGACACTTTAGATAAACCCTTAGGTAAATATGGTCATGGATTAACATTTTTCATTGCTCCTGCTGGTTTTCAAATTCCACCCAGTTCGGCTGGGGGGTTTCTGGGGCTGTTTAACACTACAACATCTCATTCCTCGAGCAACAAGATGATCGTAGTCGAGTTTGATTCGTTATCAAATCCTGAATGGGATCCATCATATGAGCATGTTGGTATCAACATTAACTCCATTGAATCATCTGTAACTAAGCGTTGGAATGCTACTCAACATAGTGGTGTTCCTGCAGATGTTTCGATCATTTACAACGCCA